AGATTGTCAGATCACATTGATAATTCATCAACAAAGAGTTCATTGATGACGCTCGAACTGTTCACTGAGTGGCACAAAAAGATTTCAAATTTGCTGAAAAAAAGTTGATGAATCAATCGATAATTTCTTGATGATATTCAATCGTTTGAATGTTTTTCAAACAAATTGATTAATATTTTTCATAGTATTGAGAACTATGTCAGTTACAACAAAGTCTCTTGTTAAATCTTTCAATACCAAGTCAAGACAATGATATTGCAGTGGACAAGGTGTACAGTTTGATTTTCGAAGAATAATGACGGCAACACTATTATATATGTCAGTCATTAAATTGAAACACTCAATTTTGTTTTGTTGGATTAATCCATTGTTTTTTAAATCACAGATGAAGTCATAAAACGGTCGATTTTAAATCTGCATTAGATAAAAATGATAAATATTTTTATGAAGAAGTCCAAGTTTTAAATTTCACCTCTCTTCAAACACTTATCAGTATAACAAAGGCTATTTCCTTGGCTAATTCATTGATAATATCATAACAAAAATATTTCCTTTCATTCAACTATTCGTGTAGATTCGGATTATGATCACATCTCAATTTCATCAATTGAAATAGGTTTCCTTCGTGTTTAGTATGTACTCGGAAGGTCATGTCTTACCACAAAAGATACTTTAATGATGAGACTTCGACTATAAATAATCTTGGTTGTTGTTCCTGTTGTCTCTTAGGAACGATGTCAATTTGTGCTGTTATCGACGGTTTCGTTTGCTGTTTTATTGCATATACACATTCAGAATGAAATTGACTACTTTCATACAAACGAAATCTACGTAGAGCATTTTTCAAATGCAGAACTCTATAGTAGACAATGATACATGAGTTGATAGATCGGTTTTTCAATGAAGATTTTGATCGACTATCGCTTGACAATAGAAAGTAGTACACTTTGTTCGTTGTCTAAATTTGGGAAAAAATGAAAGTAGACAAACGCTGTCATCTCATATTAAAAAGAAAGAGAATAACAAACGGAGTAAGACTAGCGATATCGACCACTATTTAACACTTCTCAATATTCAAAATCTAAATGCACATTATTATCTCAAACTATTCTTCTTCCTCGTGTCAACTCAAAGCGTATTTCATATTCAACTGCTATCATGTCAATTTGACATCAAGATAGCCACTATGAGCAATACGCATCAAATAAAAGTATATTTTCTGTCTGTTTCTGCAAAAAACAGTTACGACCAAAAGTGTATAATAGGCATGAAAACTATGTATTGTCGTTAAGTATCAAATTCAAAATAAGGTGAGGCTAAGCCTGAACAGCTCTGCCGTCTATAAATCCCAGACATCGACATCTCCTCTTAATATCTTGAAATAGACTGAAAAGAATATTTTTCTTCTCTTATTTAGTTTCAAAGTGATTTATTACTTTAATATCATTTAATTGTTCGGTCTTTGAAAGATTTAATGTATTTATGAATAAATTTTCCTTTGCTTTATAAAAATGAATCGATATTTTGAACTATAATTGATCAATATTGAAATATTATTTCATATAGAATAGCTGTAAGAAAATAGAAGAAATTCTTTTAATTTTCTTTTTTTTGTTGCTATTTAAAGAATCAACATATATTTCTTTTGATTTTGATTAATAAAATGGGGTTTATTTATTTATTTAAAGAACTAAACATGTTTTATTGGAAATTTCTATATCAAAATAAATCGTTGATAAATATCTTTAAAACTTTGTTAAATATTTAAAGATTGATTCTTGTTGAAAATAGAGTCGAATCAATAAAATAAATATAAAACCTAAACAAATTTAATAAATAGATTTTAGATACTGATTAAACGAGATTTATATTATAAAAAACTTTTGAAATCTTTTTTTTTTTGAAAAGAAAAAAACCCGATAAGTGATGATCTGATTAGTCTATTAATGTTTTATCTGTTAAACTAAGTTTTCTTTATCAGCGAGAAATCATTTTATTGGTTAAATTAGATAACCATTTAGATTAGTTGTTTTTCGCCTTAATAAAATAAAACGCAATAATCATTTAAAGCAAATGTACCATCGAAAGTCATTCGTTTTTGTTTGTCTGTTATTTATTGATATTGATTATGATTTGTGCCAGAATTATTTATTTTATTTTTTAATAATAAGAAGAATTTTCTTTTTTTTTTATAGATAAGAAACTGAAACGAATATGCTTGTTAAATTAATTCGTCCTTTTTTGAGAATCAGATCGATTAATGTAAAATATATTCCTTGTCAAAGTTTAACTACATCAAATGTATTATTTGAGAAATCTTCTTCTGGAAAAACTCCTGGTGCATCATCAAAGCCTACTGAAAAAAGCGAATATTCAAAAAATGAACAAATAAGTAAATTCACATCTGTTTCTTTTTCACATATTCTTCACTCGAAAACAGATAAACATATAACTCGAATACTTAAGATTAAAAAACATTGATTGAGAATTCTCTTTTGCTTTCGTTTTTTTTTTTTTGAAAACTATTTTTCTATTAGATCAACGTCATCAAAGTGAAAATAAAAACACAAATCGAGCTGAATCTGATGTTGAACAAGAAAGATCTCAACAAGAAGGTCCAGCTGATAAAAAAGCTGAACGAATATCATCAATTAATACTGATTAATCAATTATATTCAGAAATATTTTTTTTATATCAAACCTTTTTATTTATTTTAATTCTTCGTTCTTTTTTTTAATTTTTATTTTAGTCAAGCGTCTTTCAAATTGTCGACTATATATATATACACGCATATTAACTTTATTTTCGATAATAATCAAGCTTCAGATAGATCATATTTGTAATAATTTTAACAGATTCTAGTTTTTTTTCTCGAAATCAATATAATGTATTCACCCTGTGTTTAAAAAAAAAATATAAATTTTTTTTTTAGTTTTTTACATTAAAAACTGGTAAGACACAAAATATATTCTGATTGAATTGATAAATAATTGAAGATGTTTAAATAATAGTGATTAAAAGATTGAACCATTCAGATAATTTCTTGTGTTTTTAAACTATTTATTTAAACAAATAATTTTCCATAAGAATAAGTTAATTAAATAAATAAATGTATTGACTAATTATAATCTGTTAACTATATATATTTAATTAAATGATATTATTTTATCTTGAAATCTATTTTCAATAAATATTATATGTCAATGTCAATCATATTTTAAATAAAAATCATTCGAAAAAACTTTTGAGAATTTTTAAATTTTATTTAATTCATATTAAATAAATTCTAAGAGAATATCAATAAATATAAGAATTATGAAAAACAATTTAGAAATTTATCAGTTTTATTTCTTATTGTGAATAGAGATGTAAGCCATACGGCTGAGTCGCCACGAAATCGTAGATAATTTTAAAAATTCTTTAGGAGCCGCTCTCACGAACGAAAAGTTTTGATAATAATATAAGACACCGTCACCATTGATATCGATACATATGTGATCGATCACTTTTTCGTCTTTTACGAGCAAAAATGTTTTTTTTTGTTTTTGACTGTCAAAGCGGCCGCCAGTGCTGACAAACATAAAGTCCACCAGGTGCCGTCACTGTTTGACCCTTCGGCTTACACCCCTAATAGTGAATAACAATGATCAATAAGAACATTTTTAACATATTACAAATATATTTGTTGATTATTAATATATATATATATACATTGTGTAGTGTTTTTTATTAATTATGATAAAACTTATCGTCAATATTGTTGAATAATGCTTTGATAATATACTATATTAATTAAATAAGCAAATAATACCACTGACACCGATAGGAATGATCATTGCCAAGGATACATTTCCTATATAGATGTGACCGAAAATGATTAATTAATGGATATTTGATCTAGTTTCGTATGATAGTGAGCAATAAAATAATATTTCTATTTCAATAGTTAATAATGATTATATTTAGTGATATTTTATTTGAATAAATTATTTATTTAATGTTAATCATTGAATTTAAAATGATAATAATCATTAACATTAAATTGACTTGTTTAAATTCTCTGATATGAGAAATAATTTAATCATATTTATTTATAATCTGTTTAACTTATTTGATAGATAATCAATTTAAAAAAAAATGCATCTTTTTATCTAAAATATATATATTTATTTAATTAATAGTTAACAATTCAGTTTGAAAATATTCTCTTGAACAAAAAAACGTATGTTTAATAGATGGTTATGTTTAATTATTTCTCTAATAATCAACGTATTTTAAATAATATAATTAATATCTATTTATCATTGAAAATATTCATCCTATAGAATTACTATTATACATTTATATATTTATATTTTTCATCTTAAAATTATTTCCTTGACATGATTTCATATATTAACTGATTGATTTAAATCAATTTGAGCAACAACAAAGAAAAGGATAATTATCATCAGGTTTTTTTAAAATTGTTTTTTTTTGTATTTTCTAAGCTCCTTATGTTTTGAGTGAATTGTTTTTATATTTTTTTAAATAAAATATAATAGTTGTTTTTGAGAACAATTCAGAATGAATTATTTTAGTATTTTGTTAGAAAAAAATGTTTTCTTCTAGTTAATCATGTTCGACTAGGTTAGACATTGAATAAATCTAAAATATTGATTAATCAATTATCTCTGTCAATGTCAAATTTTGAGAAATTATCTCCAAACAATCTATTTATTCAACGAAACTTACTTTTATTTTGTTAAATTAAAGTTCATCAGCATCGTCTATGCAAACAAATAATCATATACATTATCAAATAGAATTTATTCTGATTGCTAAGAATTCACTTTTTTTTAACTTGGTTTAGTCTGAAACATAATGCTTACAGACAAAGTTGAACATGACCAAGTGATCTATATCCTAAAATGGGTTGTATTTCAGAACAAATTAGTTTGATTGATGATTTTCATTTTTTGAATATGCTTATTGGCATTAGTTTACTTTAATCGATTATTTTATATTGTTTTTTAGTTCAGTTAATTTATTTTTGTAAATCCAAGATCTTCTATAAAATAGCAAATTAAAACATAACACAAACAACATATTATTAGGCATATAACGAAGAAGTAAAAGAAATATTAGAAAAGAAAACATTTGGAGATTAATGTGACACTTATCATAACAGATAAAGACATTTACATTTTATAATCAATTTCTCCAATATTATGCAACAATGTCCGACTCAAAAAAATCCCTATTTTTGATATACTCTCTACATTTATGATCTTACTGTCAAAAACATGTTACTGTAGAGCAGAAAATTAATATGAAACTATAAATATTGAGAAAATCGTGAGAAAAGCAAAAACTTAGTGAACATGATCATTTTTTCACTATAGAAAGCATAATACAACACTCTTGAAGAGTCCTCATATCTTATGTTCAAAAAAATATAGATAGAAGAAAAATACGTAGAGGAGTTCGAAATGAAATTAAAATATGTTCTATTAATTGGTGACATATCTATGCTGCAGTTATCTGATTTTTCCAATAGTTTGCTTTTGTACTTACCGCTAGTTCACATTTATTGTAGAAGAGCTAAATCTTCAGTCTGAAAAACTTACAGTAAGTGATTTTCCGTATCACTTTCTGGAATGTGAATATTTTGGTTGGGATGAGCGGTAAAAATGTTAACTTGAAATCATAAATATTGAAATAAAAGTCGTAGATATGAGCTATGGTATTATGTGAGGAATTCTTTAGTGAAAAACCTTTATTTTAATTAGATTTTTGGTTGAAATTATACCATTTATGACAAGCCAACTTAAAATGTATACTAATCAAATTCTACATGAATGATTTCTATTGTGAAATTGATGATGGTATGATCTCTTTCTGATTGATGTTTCCTATTATTATCGTAAGAAGATTAATGTTGAGAGGATATCCAAAATGGTGAAATTTTGTAGTTGGACGCTCGTCCAAACTGTAAAAGCTAGAGTAAGAAGTTTGGCCTGGTTTGATGTTCTGGAAGGCGGTTGGCAATATTGGTAGCTATGATTTAAATCCTCTCAATCGTTTATAGAATGTCATCTGTTGAAGATTATTCAATAGATGTATCTTGACATATTTATCAAACATATCTTTTTAATCAATAATCTTAAACATATTGATTTTATTTATTGAAAAGAATTAAAAAATGTATTCATTTGATTTTTACAAGAAAAAATATTTTATTCTTTTAACTAATATAATAAGAATAATTTATAAGAAAAAAAAAATTATCTGATTGAATAAAATCTTCTGTTGTTTTGTTAGAATACTTAATATGATCGAAATAAAAATGTTTGCAGATTTTTCATTATAATAATGATATGTTTAAATTTAGTATAAACTTTTTCAATTTAAAAAATTCTTATTCTTGTAGTCAGGTAGTTAAATTGTTTTGTTAGTAGGATTGGTTAAGAATGTTTCTCCAATTGTTAAAAAACTGAATCGAAAAAAAGAAAAAAAAAGTGTGTTTTTATTTTGATGAAAACTACTCGATGAGAAATTGATTTTGTTATTGTTGAAATATTGTTTTAATGGTTTCGAATTGTTCTCTATCGAATGATCAATCATTAACAAAACGTTTAATTGAAAGTTCGAATAAATCATCCGAATGTTTTCATCGTTTTGTTAATATAAGTGAATGGAGTGATGGTCTTGATCATTGGTCTTTATCAGAAATAATTCGAAAAAGTCATTTATATCAACAAGATTATTTAGATTTTCATCGTGATCTTGGTCTTTATTTACCTCGATATGAAAAGGATAAATTGCAAGAAAGATCAATTGAAAATGATTTATTTTATTCTAAAAGAAGAAGAAATGATTTTCTTCCAGAACGTCTTCGAAAATTATTTAAAAAAGAAAAAAAACTTTTAATAGAAGAAAATCAATCAAATATATCTTCATCAGATGAGCAATTATCATCAACAGAAGATAATCAATTTTCAAAATCTATTCAACAATGTTAGTTATCAATATTTTTATTATATTTTATAAATAATTCATTCATTCATTTATTTTTAGCAAAATCAAATGATATATCATCAAATAAAGTTCGTTTATCACTTCGTCAAGTTCAAAGTCAATATTATTTACCAGAAAATCAATTAAAACAAATTCATCAACAAAATTATCAATCAGTTAATGGAGAAAAATTAAAATCATTATTAAAACAACAATTAACAAATTTATTTACTCGTCAAACAACAAATATAAATAATAAACGAACTCTTATAAGAATACCTTTAGTAGAAATAAAACATCAAAATTATCCACCTAAAACAACTTCAATTATAGATCCAACATTAATTATTGAACGATACAATAAATGGCAACAATTTTTCATATCTCGAACACCTAGTCAAGCAACAATAAATAATAAATTAGTGAATAATGATCAATATCAATTAAGTGTTGATGTTAAGGCAACATTTGGTTTAAATGTAACACCAATTGAGTTTTCTTCTTCAAAAAATTTTGAAAGTTCTGCCTTAGAAATTAAATCTGAACAAGAAAATTCTTCATTAAAAACTGGTCGATCGACTCAACGAGGTTAAACTTTTTTTTTTAATTTATCATTAAAATAAAAAGGTAATTTTCTTTTTTTGTTTTGTTTTGATAGTAGCTCTTCCTTGTTCATTTGATAAAAGTGAAGAAGAACAACGAATTATATCAAAAGGTAATATTCAAAGTGGATTTATTTCATCATCTGGTGATTTTATTCTTCCAAATAATAATAATAATAATTCAATTGATGAACAAACACAAACAATACGAAAATTCTATCGTCATCATCGTTCATCATCAAAAAATCGAATTGAAAGATCGAAAACTTTCGATTTCTTACCAACATTAGTTTCGGGAAAACGTCTTCATCTTCCAACTTCAAATCATAGAAATTCATAAAATATTGCTTTATTCTATATTCAAGAAAAAAACAAAACAAAACAAAACATTTCAATTACATTTGTCTATATTGATCGAAATTTGTTGCCATCAACAATCAATCTAGATTGATTTATTGTTTAGAGAATTTCTATTGAAATTCAAATCAGATTCAACTGCTTTTCATAATTATTCGAATTAAAACAGATATATATACTTAATAGTTTAAAGAAAATAAAATAAATTAAATATCTCAAGCATTTTTTTCTGAAGAAATTTTAAAAATAATCCTTTTAGTAAAAAAGTTAATAATAAACTAAGGCAGAATATATTTTTCTGTCTAAAGTCATTATATCTCTTTTGTTTTAAATAATATTTATCGATTTTACTCATTTATCTTAATCGTATATATTTGTTTATTAAGTTTAAATAATTTAACAATCATAAGATTCATAAAGCTAGAATTAAACAACAAAGAAAAATCGATTCTGACGGCCGGGTCTTTATAAATTTTGGCTGTAGGTGTTAAGAAAATCTACATACAAATTTTTCATTTGACTTTAATATTTTTATATAGGGTGTCCAGTAATTCACTAGAGTTGGAGAAAAAAATTTGAATATTTTCATGAATCTTCAACCAAATGAGCTGAATTTTTTTTGGAAGGTAGAGGACACGTAGCAGTTTTTATTCATAACAGAACAGGTCGTTTATGCGGATGAACTCAGCACGTTTTTCTTAAACAGAAGGCCAGTCAGCTATGATGAGGACTTGCTTATTATTCAAAGTAGTTCTACTATTGTGTTTTCGTGCGTAAATCAGATCAGTTGTTAAGTTTGACCGTTATCTCACTTTTTGTTTCGTTTTGAGTCATATAGCTGACACAGAAGTATCGATACGTGCATCATTCATGTAAGTCAAAGCACGCATATTCAGAGATAAAGAAAAGAAAAGACGAAAAACAATGGTACGAAAGATAATCCACGTGGTGATACTGTACATAGTTTTAGTTATATCACTTACGATTCTTTAATATGTATACAACTCGTACCACTGATGAGAAAGTCGCAATTGTACGACTTTTTTCAAAGTTTGAAAATGCAACTGACGTACAAAGAGTATGGACCAATTATTTTGATACAACTCCACCTCATCTGACCACAATTTCGTCAATCAATAAAAAGTTTGATGAATTTGGAACAATTGAAAATCTACCGCACATTGGTCGACCGTCAAGTGTACTCTCTGAAGAAAAACTAGACGAAATTGAAGAAAGAGCCACTAGCAATCCACAATTGTCTATTCGTTTAGGTGCTGATCGAGCTGGTATAAGCAAAAGCAGTTACCATGTGGCAATGAAACAACTTGGCTTTAAACCTTACCGTCCTACCTTAGTGATCGACCTTAATGATGATGATTTCGATCGTCGTAGCGAATTTTGCGAATCATGGATCGAGAAATTCGAAGAAGATCCCAATCTAATCGACAGTATATTTTGGAGCGATGAAGCCAAATTTAATATGAATACAAGCGTCAATCGACATAATTGCACTTACTGGGCCAGAGAAAATCCACACTTCAAGTTTGAAATGCCAAATACGCAACAAGGAATTATGGTTTGGTGCGGAATAAGTTCTAATGGACTCGTTGGTCCATATTTTTTCAATGATACCGTTACTGGTCCATCGTACAAAGAAATACTGGTTAATTATGCATGGCCTCGGTTGAAGAACAAAAACTTTTACTTTCAACATGATGGAGCAGGAGCTCATTATTCTGTTACTGTTCGAGAATGGCTGGATAAAAAATTTCCAGATCGATGGATAGGTAGACGTGGTCCATTCGACTGGCCAGCTCGTTCACCAGATTTAAGTCCCTGTGACTTCTTTCTTTGGGGCTATTTGAAGGACATTGTGTTCAAAGAGCCAGTCGCTTCTATTACAGAACTTCAAGAAAGAATTGAACAAGCTTGTGAAGAGATACCCGAAGAAATGTGTCGCAAAGCATGTCGCTCTGTTGTGCAACGTCTTCGTGACTGCTTGAACAACGAAGGACAGTTTCTTTCATACTAATAATATCGCATTGTATGTCAACTATGCTTCCTAATAAATAAAGAAAAGATTATCGTACAGTATTGCGTTATAACTATGAACAACAAATGTTTGTGCCTAGCTTATTTACATAGCGAAGAAAAGTGTGCTGAGTTCATCCGCATAAACAACCTGTTCTGTTATGAATAAAAACTGCTACGTGTCCTCTACCTTCCAAAAAAAAATTCAGCTCATTTGGTTGAAGATTCATGAAAATATTCAAATTTTTTTCTCCAACTCTAGTGAATTACTGGACACCCTATATGATAGATTACTAATAAGGAATAAATATATTCTATATCATTTAAAATATTAAAAACGATTAATTATTAATCAAATTAGAAACTCATTTGGATATTTTTTTAATTATTTGGAGTGATTCGAAAAATTAAATTGCACCGCCTTAAATCGAAAGACTATCTTCCTCTTTTTACTTCTATTTTCCTATAGATTATTATTCTAATGAAGATTATGTACATTATTCTAGATGAGTTTTGATTATTAAAGATCTATTTTACAAATAGAATTCCTACTAACGAG